GGTAAATGTTTTAAGGATTAGGGAAGGCAGGATTAGGGGTAAACCCCCCCCCCCCCCCTCCGTTGCTGCGTCCTGTGGCGGACGCGTGGTAAACGGTCCAGCAGCTAAGGCATGCAAAACATAGGAGGGCCCCGCCCCCTCCCCGCCATCCGCTGCACGCGAGCACACACCCACACGTTTTGGTCCCATCGCTGCTGCCGCTGCTGTCTTTTTTTCGCGGTGTACTGATGCAGGACGGAGTCTGGAGGGCTGTCGTTCGATGCGATCCACCGAATCATGGAACTCTGTCCCGGCGTTAGCGATGGGTCCGTCCTAGTCGTGCCGGATTCGTCAAAAGGTAGGGGGTTTCGGGGGCGCCGGGGGGGGGGGGGGGTGTACTCATAGTCGTGCATGCCGTAGTCGTTAGACCATTGACCTCGCATCCCTACAAAGCCGGGACGGAGCACGTCGGGTTCTCACCGGACCAGGCTCTCACATCACCAAGCGCGAAGCGCCGTGAGGTATTCGGCGAGTCGCATGAAGGGTGAGCTGCATCCTGCTAAGGGTGTTCGGCATCCTGTGCTCACTTCCTTGCGTACAGATGACAGCTGCGTATGACTTAATTGCTTTTTTGGTGCTTTCACTTCCAGAGACAGTTGGAAGCACTGTGTAACTGCCTCGAGGGTGCTTGACCATTTTAACACAACATGGTGCGATCATCCCCCTTGCACGGAGTGAGGCTTCTCGACCCCGCACAACATGATCTACTCGACCACCATTCATGGTTACCGCAAAAAAAAAACAGAAGTAAAAAAAAAACGGTAACCTGGTTGCCGAGTTCACGAAGTGACTTGGCTTGTTTTACAACGTCGTTGCCAAGCGACGAAAACCCAACCCCGATGGCAAAACACCGGGGGGGGCGGGGGGGGGGGGGGGGGGGGGGATCCCCCCCAAAACCCTCCCCAAAAAAAATTTACCCCCCATTCCAAAAATGCCGGGGCGAAAAAAAATTCCCGTTTTTTTCCCCCCAAAACCCCCTTTCCCAAAAAAAAACCCCCCAAAAAAAAAATTTTTTCTTTTTCAAAAAAAAAAAACCTTTTTTTTTTTTTTTCCCCCCCCCCCGAAAAAAAGCCACCCAAAAAAAAACTTTTCCCCCTCCCCCCCCCCCCCTCCTTCCTAAAAAAAGGGCCCGGGGAAAAAACCGGTTTTCCCCCCCCCCCCCCCCCCTTTTTCATTTCTAACCCCCCAAAATTCCCAAAAATAAAAAAAAAAAACCCCTTACCAAACCCCCAAATTTTTTCCTTTTCCAAAAAGGAAAAAAATTTTTAAAAAAATACCCCCAAAAAAACCCCCCCTTTTTTTTAAAAAACCCCTTTAGGTTTCCCA